TGGTTGACCCAAACATTCTTGAGGAGAGTGGTCTTTAGCTTCCAAGTGTTTGAATTTCTGCCAAATTTTTTCTTGTGATTGAGTTCCAGTTTTAAAGCACTGTGGTCTGAGAATATGCGGGGAATAATCTCAATCTTTTGGTATCAGTTGAGACCTGATTTGTGACCCAGTATGTGGTCTATTCTGGAGAAAGTTCCATGTGCGCTCGAGAAGAATGAGTATTCTGTTGTTTTAGGGTGGAATGTTCTGTAAATATCTATAAGGTCTATCTGGTCCAGTGTATCATGCAAAGCTCTTGTTTCCTTGTTGTTTTTCTGCTTAGATGATCTGTCCATTGCTGAGAGTGGAGTATTGAGGTCTCCTACAATGAACGTATTGTTATCAATATGACTCTTTATTTTGGTTAACAGTTGGCTTATGTAGATGGCTGCTCCCTTGTTGGGGGCATAGATATTTACAATTGTTAGATCTTCTTGTTGGATAGACCCTTTAAGAATGATATAGTGTCCTTCTGTGTCTCTAATTACAGACTTTAGTTTAAAATCTAATTTGTCTGATCTAAGAATTGCTACCCCAGCTTTCTTTTGAGGTCCGCTGGCATGGAAGATGGATCTCCATCCCTTCACTTTCAGTCTGGATGTATCTTTAGGTTCAAAATGAGTCTCTTATAGGCAGCATATGGATGGGTCCTGTCTTTTTATCCAATCTGCAACCCTGTGCCGTTTTATGGAAGCGTTTAGGCCATTCATGTTGAGAGTGATTATTGAAAGATATGAATTAATTGTCATCATGTTGCCTGTGAAGATGTTGTTTTTATAGATTGTCCCTGTAACTTTCTGTTGTAGATCACTCTTGGGGTCTTTCTCCTTTTATAGAACCCCCCCTTAATATTTCTTGCAGGGCCAGCTTAGTGATCACATATTCTTTCAGTTTCTGCCAGTCGTGGAAGCTCTGCATCTCCCCATCCATTCTAAATGACAGCCTTGCCAGATAAAGTATTCTTGGCTGCATGTTCTTCTCATTTAGTACCCTGAATATGTCTTGCCAGGCCTTTCTGGCTTGCCAGGTCTCTGTGGATAGGTCTGATGTTATTCTGATGTTCCTCCCTTTGTACGTAAGGAATCTCTTCCCCCTAACTGCCCTTAAGATGGTTTCCTTGGTTCTAAGATTTGCCAGTTTTACTATTACATGCCGGGGTGTTGGCCTGTTTTCCTCGATCTTGGGAGGGGTCCTTTCTGCCTCTAGGACGCAAATGTTTGTTTCATTCCCCAGATTAAGGAAGTTCTCAGCTACGATTTGCTCAAATATATCTTCTAGTCCTCTCTCTGTCTCCACTCCCTCCGGGATTCCAATTATTCTGACATTGGAACGCCTCATGGTGTCACTTATTTCTCTGATTCTATTTTCATGGATTCTGAGTTGTTTTTCCCTGGCCTCCTCTTTTCCCTTTTCATCTATTATATTGTCTTCCAGGTCGCTTATTTGTTCTTCTGCCTCAGTTACCCTAGCTGTTTGATTATCTAGATTGGATTGGATCTCATTGATAGCATTTTTAAGTTCTGCCAGTTCAGCTTTCATTTCTGCCCTTAGAGACTCTATGTTGCCATTAATTGATTTCTCCATTCTAGCCATTGTCTTCACAATTGCTAGCCTGAATTCCATCTCTGACATCTTGGTTATATCTGCATCCATTTGTAAATCTGCAGCATAAGTCATGATCTCTGAGTATTTTCTATTTTGGGGGCTCCTCCTCCTAGTCATTCTGTTGATGGGTGTTTGAGGAAATGTATAGAGTCCAAATTATTGACCAGAACCCAAGCAAGATGCACCTGTTTTCTTGGGACCTTAGGGTTGCAGGCCTCTTGTTTTCCCAGCCTGTCTTCTGCGGGAGGGGCCTGCCGTGCTGTTACTCAGGCAACCCTGTTTGGGCGGAGTTGCCCTGCCCCCCTGTGGTGGGGGATGGGCTCAGCGGGAATCAGTTTTTGGGGCTTTTGTTCTCTGGCGGCTCTCCCTGGCGTCTTCCCACGTCTCTTCCACAAGTCAGAGCAGAAGAGACCATTTCCAACCCTCTGCCTCAGAGCAGAGAGATCGCAGTCTGTTCTTCAGTGAGCTCTCCAGGCCACACTGTCTCCGTTTCTGTCCGTGCTGCTATAAACTGCAGTGGCCTGGGTTGTGCGCCCCTCCGCGGCACCCCCAGTCCTGCCTCCAGGTCGGAGCTCGTCTCTGCCCTTTGTGCTTCTAAAACTGCCAGCTGCCCCCAGTTCGCAGGTGCGACCCCTCCGCTGTGGGTTTCTGCCCCGGGGACTGCCCTAAAGTCCTTTCCCCTCCGCTACCGGTCTGCAAGTCTGTGCCCCATCCCCAGCATGCGAGGCTGTCGCTCACCAGTGGTGTAGGATCCCCACGGCCAGGCACCCTCCCGCTGCCGTTTATCCTCCAAAATCTGCCTGCAGAATCAGGGCTCCCCACTTCGTACCTCAAAACCAACCGCCTGCAATATTCTGTTTGTAGAGATCCAGATCTTCTTACATCTCAGGCTGGTTTTGTGGGTTCTCAGACCAGTCTGGTAGATATCCAGCTCAATTCTGGGGACCAGTTGAAATAGGGTCCCCTACTCCTCCACCATCTTTCGCCTCTCAGGTCTTTTTTTTTTTAAGATTTTATTTATTTGAGAGAGAGAGAGAGAGAGAGAGCGCGCACAGTGGGGGGAGGGGCAGATTCCCCACTAAGCAAGGAGTCTGATGCAAGCTGGATCCCAAGACCCTGAGATCACGACCTGAGCTGAAGTCAGACACTTAACCAACTGAGCCACCCAGGTGCCCCAGCTTAGGTCTTGATCTCAGGTTGTGAGTTTGGGCCCTGTGTTGGGCTCCATGCTGGGCATGGAGCCCAATGGAAAAAAAAAATCACAAATCCTATGTATGAAACAGAAAGAGCACCCTAATGAACCAAGAACAATGTGTATAGGAAGAATCAACTTTAAACTCTTAGGAAGGAAAAAATAAAGTCATTAAAATTAAAAAAAGAAAAATCAGGCAGATGGGATAAATGTTAACCTGGTGTGTTAGTCATAGAATAAATGTACAATTACAATATAGTCATGTAAAAGTCTATCACATGGTGAAGAGTGAAAAAGAAAAACATCTGAAAGGGTAATTAAGGGACATAAGTTGATCGACTACACTTTGAATAAAAGACCCACAAGGTCTAGACACAGTGAAATGTAGAGGATGGAGAAAAGACAACAGTCGAAGAGATAATTGTTAAGAATTTACATTCATTGAGAATTTTTATTTATCCTATTCTGTTATCAGGATACATTTTTTATCCAAAGATTCATATATTCTTCAGTAATGGAAAATACTCCATTTGCTTGAGTGTACATTTATGTTTATTTTTTTGTGCTCCTTAAGTGGAATGCATTTTTTTTTTTCTTAACCATTTAAGGACTTAGGTCTGTTTTGAATTCTGAAACATTTTTGCTGAAATCTCTTCAAATACTGTTTCTTCATTATTCTCTCCATTCTTTTGCTCTGGAAACTTTATCATGTCTAAGTTTAGCCACTCAATCTGTTATTCATGTCTCAAGATTGCACTTTGAAAATGGTAGCCCTTTGTTTGTCTGCATTAACATCTGCATGGGTTCTTAAATGTGACCTTCCAGTACACTTTTTCTCTCTTTAATGTGAGGTCTGGAAACTATCTCCTTATTGGTTATAAAATTATGTAGCTTTATGTCTTATTTCAAATATCTGTGCTTGATCTATTTTATACACTCATTTTTTTATGGTTACCTTGTTCATTTTTCTTAATTTATCAAGCATTTCAGTAATTATTATTAATTAATTTATTATTTATTTATTATAAATTTATTAATTTATAGGAGCATCCTAACCATCCTTAGTCTTTGGAAGATTGTGCTATACATTTATTACATCCTGAATGAATTCAAAGCTAATTGTTTACTTTGTTTTTCCTCATTAGCAGAACTTATTTTCCCCAAAATGTGTTTAGGCACATATTCTGAGTGAAAGATTTTTTGTTGTTAGAATTGTTTTTATTTTTATTTGCCTTTTCCAACTTTTCTTTTTTTCTGTCTTGTGATTTTGAATTTTTGTTGTTCTTCACCCAACTCTATGGGCCCTGCATATATAATATATAATATGTAATATATAATACAAGAGTGTCTCAGACTCTGGTGATCTAATGAGAAAGCCAGGAAGCATACTGACTTCTTTGTAGTCTCCTTATCCAGCTGCACAATAGTTGTTTTATACCTCCTTTTATACCCAAGCCCTTAGTTTCAAGCAATCGTATTAGTATATCCCATCTCCCAAAACTTGCCTTGACTCTGTAAGAGCTGAGCTCCAGGTATAACATTCTGCCTTCATACTTGGAGCATACATGTTTCTGATTCATTTCTGGTGTTGCAAAAATGATCTCATTTTAAACTCTGGCTATTTGGGGGTTTGTATTTTATATTTTGATTTCTCATCTCCACGTGTTAGGAATTCCTCTTGAGCACAGATCTTTCTTCTTAACTAATATACAACCAATAGTGTAATACAATGATAAAATTGTTAGTGTCAATTATTATTGTTAATAATATTTCTGGGAGAAAATAGAAATTAGTGGAAGCAGAGGTAAGTGAAAGAGAATCTGACTCTATTTCCTTATTATCTTCAGCTGATTATTGTTTACAATGAATTTCAAGAAATGACATTTCTTCTATTTTTGAAATGTAGCCAGAGACCCCAATTTTTATGTGAAGTCTACTAATTGTTAATATTGGTCAATAACTAAATTTATTAGGTATCTCTAAAAGCCAAATGTACAGATCAACATCACAGACTTTGGACTAGATTGGATCCATGAATTACTGACTTGTGGCCTCTGCATAAATTCTTACTCTGTATGAATGTATCATTCCTTTTTCCTTTTCTACCACTCAGCTCCAAAATTCCTGTGCTAAGTGCAGCAATGTACCCACCTGTGAAAAGAACATGGGAAGCAATCAGACATAGATCACAGAAGTCATCCTGCTGGGATTCCAGGTTGACCCCAAACTTGAAGTTTTCCTCTTTGGGTTCTTCTTGCTATTCTGTAGCCTCACCCTGATGGGAAATGGGCTCATCCTGGGGCTCATCTGGCTGGACTCCAGACTGCACACCCCCATGTACTTCTTCCTCTCAAACCTGGCCATTGTTGACATGGCCTATGCCTCAAGCATTGTCCCCAAGATGCTGGCAAATCTTATAATGCAGATGAAAACCATCTCCTTTGTTCCATGCTTACTTCAGACATTTTTGTATTTGACATTTGCTGTCACAGAGTGTATGAGTTTGGTAGTAATGTCCTATGATCGGTATGTGGCTATCTGCCATCCCCTACATTACACTGTCATCATGAGCTGGAGGATATGCACTATCATGGCTGCCACTTGCTGGATATTCAGCTTCCTCTTAGCTCTGATCCATATTACTCTCATTCTGAGGTTGCCCTTTTGTGGGCCACAAAAAATCAACCACTTTTTCTGTCAAATCATGTCAGTATTCAAATTGGCCTGTGCTGACACTAGATTCAGCCAAATTGTTCTCTTTGCGGGCTCTGTGTTTGTTTCAGTAGGGCCCCTCTGCTTGGTGCTGGTGTTCTATATGCGCATCCTGTTTGCCCTCCTGAGGATCCAGTCTGGGGAGGGCCCACAGGAAGGCCTTCTCCACCTCTGCGTGGTGGGGCTCTTCATTGGCAGCGCCATTGTTATGTATATGGCCCCTAAATCCAGCCATTCTCAGGAACAAAGAAAGATTCTACCATTGTTTTATAGTCTTTTCAACCCTATGCTAAACCCACTGATCTACAGCCTGAGGAATGCAGAGGTGAAGGGTGCCCTGAGGAGATTTCTGAGGAAGAAGTCATCAGTGTGAGGGATGGTTTGGAGTATTCCAAGACTGTGAGCTTTAACACATGGTTCTGGGTCCTTGAATGCCTTTTTGAGTCCCTTAATTTAACAAACCCAGTACTCTTTATCTTTGGATTTCTTATAAAATGAGAATATAAATACTCTTACACTTTAAGCCATTGATACAAAACCTGAGATAAACATTATGAAACAGAAAATCACAGTCTAATCCTATTCATGAACAGAGATGCAAATATCTTAAAGAAAATATTAGTAAAATAAGTCCACAAAATAATATTACATTTTGATAAAGTTTTATCCTCCAAATGCAAGAATTATTTAACATTAAAACAAACAATGAAAATAATTGGCCACATTAACAAATTAAAGGATATATATCAGTAGATCCAAGAGAGTATTTGACAAAATTCAACATCAATTCATGATAAAACTCTTTACAACCTAGTATACAATCTACCAAAAAAAAACAAAAGAACACATATAATAGATATAATACTTACTGGTGAAATGCCAGCACCTTTCCCCGTAAGCTAAAAAGTAAGACAAAGATGTAGACTCTCACCACTTGTTTTCCTTGTTTTGACCTTTTTGCTAGAGACCCTGAAGAGTACAGTTAGAGAATAAGAAGAAACATACAGATTTGTGCACACACACACACATTTGAGAAGGAATAAACGAATTGTGATTATAAACAAAATAACATGATTACATATGTAGGAAATCCAAATTATAAGAAAGTTTAGCAAAGTAGCTTGATACAAAATCAATATGAACATCAATTATACATTTTTATATAACAAATAATTAAAATGAAATTTTACAAAATGCTGGTATAGACTACAGGACTTACTTTTAAAATGCTTAGGAATAAATTTAACAAACCATATACAAAAACTATAAAGATACAATTAGAAAAATTTATTGAGTCCCTATGACAACTAAATACACAGATAATACAACATGTGATATGCTGACTTCTTGGACTAGGAAACATAATATTACAAAGATTCGATCTCCTCAAACTGATTAATATATTTCATGTAATCCTAATCAATATCCCACAATATTCCAGTTGTGTGGGTATGTGCAGAACTTCACAAGCTGAATCTAAAATGCAAAGGGCCAAACACTATTAAAAAAGATAAAGGACGGGGCGCCTGGGTGGCTCAGTCGGTTAAGCGACTGCCTTCAGCTCAGGTCATGATCCTGGAGTCCCTGGATCGAGTCCCGCATCGGGCTCCCTGCTCGGCGGGGAGTCTGCTTCTCCCTCTGACTCTTCCCCCTCTCATGTGCTCTCTCTCATTCTCTCTGTCTCAAATAAATAAATAAAATCTTTAAAAAAAAAAAAAAAGATAAAAGACAAGGTGGGGAGTATTTAATTCTCCAGATAATAAAGTGTAATATAAAGTGCCAGTAAGTAAAACAGTGTGTCATTCATCCAGGCATTGACCAATAAATAAACTGAACAGAATACAAAGCATAGAAGCAGATTCATGACTTTATAAAATGACACTTGCTGTATTAGGGATGTGGCATGGCAGTTCGGTGGGGAAAGGAGAGGCTTTGCAGAGACCAGCATATTTCAGAGTCTCACCTGTCTGGACTAGGTGATTTTCTACCATATCACTCCAGCTTATCTTTGTACCCAAATCACTTTACAGAATAAATAGACTTTAGGAATAAAGCCAGAATGAAGATTTTTTCTTTCCTGGACATACGGTAGATGAGTCATTTTCAGATGTTTTGGTGGTAGAATTTTCTGACATATCAATATTTAAAACTGATTAAGAAGCAAAGAGAAACTTTTTTTGTCTGTCTTTCCCTCTTTATCAAGAAGGAAGATCTTTTCTGGAATTACTCCCCCTCAGCAGATTTTTCCTGGTATTCCACTGGCAAAAACTGGGTCAAATGGTCATCTCTAAACAGTCTCTGACAAAGAAGATGAAATTGAGAGTTTGACTTAGATCCATTATGGTTTAATCCCCTATGGCTCAGAGTGAGAGCCACTTTCTCTGATAAGTTTACTATTTAATACCTCAAGAATATCAGTACTAGCTCAGCAAGGAAGGGGTAATGGCCATAGGGCAGAAAAGCAACAGTATCTGCTAAGTGGTTCAAGTTGTGAAGCAAAACTTCTTGAATCTTAAGTAGGAAATTAAGTGTGCTAATTTTCTCATCCTTTAGCTTTAGGAATCCAACTGATACTTTCTCACAATAAGGCATAATGTTTAAAACCTAAATTAGAGGCTACAACCTCTAAATATAATGAAAAATTATTGTTATATCAAAGAGATTGTATTAAGAATCTTATAAGATTAAAAAATTCTGAATTAGAATAATTTGGTTACATAGTAGGTACTTTTCCTTCTGCTAGATTAAAAAATATATATACTTAAAAATAGCATGAGAAGTATGAATCAATTTTCATTAAAATGTTATCTGTTTATCCTTCCCTCCTTATATTTCTCTAAGCATACAGAGATATGTGGGAGTCCACTAACCAAATGTGTGGATAATGTATTTTTCTGAATTGCTTATTTTCATTTGGGGAAAATATTTTTTTACACAAAATAAAAAGTCAAAATACTTTCCTAAAATATCATGTGATTACATTTTATTAGCCCTGAATCCGACTTACTTGAAGAAATCTCTGGGATACTGAGCTATAGTAGTTACTTCAGAGTGCTTTGATATAGAATAATTTTAGATTTTTTCTTTGTACTTTTCAAGATTGCTTTATTTTTCACACATGGACCTCATTTCCTTTTTACAACAAAAATAATTCCATTTTTTTTTCCTCTAAAAGTGGGTGGAGAGAGGCTGGTAAAGAAGCATGAAGACTTTTAAGAAAGAAGGTAACATGAGTGCAGCCCTCCTGTTTACCACTAGGATCTGAGCAAAGGAAATGCAGATTTGTCTCTATCAGTTGTATCCCTTAGTGTCTGACCATTATTGGTCTATAATAAACATCTGATTAGGGAAGATAGTGGTGGTAAGCACCCACTCTCTGATCCTGAGCAGGGTACAATGCAATGTTGTTGTCCCATTGATCAGCCTAACCATGGAGACGCAATTTCTGGAAAAGTCTACGGGTGGAAGAAAGAGAAACACCACCACACTTGAAGCCCATTCATCCACAGCACATCAGCCGTGGCAAAAGTTTGTATAGGGGCGCCTGGGTGGCTCAGTCGTTAAGCGTCTGCCTTCAGCTCGGGTCATGATCCCAGGGTCCTGAGATCGAGCCCCGCATCGGGCTCCCTGCTCAGCGGGGAGCCTGTTTCTCTCTCTGCTGCTCCCCCTGCTTGTGCTCTCTCTCTGTCTCTGGCAAATAAATAAATAATAAAATCTTAAAAAAAAAAAAAAGTTTGTATAGAAAACTCTTTATTAGGCCAATATTTTCCCTCACCCAATTTCTAAGCAGGAAGTATATGGCAACTAAAGGCTTCTAGGTACAAGTGATAAAGGTGATGTTAACAAATTACCTTGTTTTTCCCTCCACTTGGACTCTTACTCCCTCTTCCTAGGGTTTTCACAATCTCTTACTCCCCATCAGCCACCTCAAATAATATATCCATCCTTCAGGAGATTTCCATTCTCCTTCTATCTGGGCTGGTTGCTTCCTGGCAATTTCATCTGCCTTTACCCTGTGTTATATTTCTTAGTTCATTAATCTCGTCTTTCTCTTTCTTGGTTTAACTCTCCTTGTTTTTATGGAGCACCTCCTTCAGTTGCTCATACACTTAGAAAGGTTTATCATGACAGAAGTGGTGAAAATAATCATAACCACTTCTCATTTCTCATCACTTATACTATTTTATCTTCTTCAAATACCATGTTGAAATTCTATGTGCTATGTGGACAGAAAGAAAGAAAGACAAGACTCAAGCTTTCTGAAGGAGGATTTTCTGTCTCAGAGATGGCAAAATATTAAAATGATATTTAGGTGCAGCTGTAGGTATTGTATTTGTGATCTGTAAACACCTCTCTCTAAATTGACATTCTTTAATAAAGGTCCATCACTAATGATAGAGCCAAGTATGCTTTGTAACATTTATTCTTACTAAAATATTAATCACTATGAATATTGATAATAAGTCTAAGACTCTTCATAAGAAATGCTTTTGCTTTCTCCACTTCAAAGATTAGAGACAAAAAATTAGAGATAAACCGTGACATCTCTTTGTATCCACAATATGCTGTGTTAAATATCATCATTCAACCAAAAGAAATAAAAGTGGTAAATATACATATTTTTTTAAGAGAGAGGGGGAGAGAGAACCTTAAGCAAGCTTCACACCCCACATGAAGCTCGACGTAGGGCTCAATCTCACAACCCTGAGATCATTACCTGAGCTGAAGTCAAGAGTAAGATGGACATTTAACCGACTGAGCCACCCAGGCACTGCTAAATATGCATATTTGAATGAGCATACACCAACATATTATCCTTGGTTCTATCTGGGTATTGGTGAGTGAAATTTATTTTTCTGTAATAATCTTGTTTTCCTTGTAAAATACAAACAATAAAAAAATAAGAAAATTATAAAATTATTTAAGTACAACTTTGAAAGATGTTATCATAAGTGCTTTTAGTCTTCCGGAGAAGGGAGACCAATTTGGGTTTGGATAGCTGAAGAGAGCACCCTGAGTGCTTTGAAGGATTGTTATTATATTTGAAGTCAAATGGGTACTACAAGGACAAAACTGACTTGGAACAAGGAAAAGCATTTCAAGAGTGGGAGCTATGGAGGAGTAGTACTTGATTAAAGTGGAGTGTCTTGAAGAATGAGAAGGTATGCTCTTTCCAACACAGATTATTTTATGAAAAGAAATAACACCAATATCCTCCCCCTTAAATATATTTTTTCTGCTTTCCAATAGATTAAATATACTACTTTTATTTTGAAGTGACTTTTCTACCAGAGTTTAAGAAATAAGACTCTACATGGACACTCTGGAAGTTAGAAGTGGAAGGACTTTACAATCATCAAACATCATTTAGCACATGAGGTGGCAGGGAGAGAGATTCATTTTTTTTAAGATTTTATTTATTTATTTGGGAGAGAGAGAGCACCAGTGGGGCGGTGGGAGGGAGGAGCAGAGGAACAGAGAGAAGCAGACTCCCCGCTGAGCAGGGAGCCTGATGCGGGGCTCAATCCCAGGACCCCAGGATCATGACCTGAACCAAAGGCAGACGCTTAACTGACTGAGCCACCCAGGCACCCTCCACCCTTTTTTTCCTTTTCAAATATTTTATTGAGATTCATTTTAACTGTAGGCCTTAACCCAGAATGAAGAAATAAAAATGTGATCCAGAAATCTTGAGAAGTTTGAAATGGAGACCAAACTAAAGAAAATTAAGGGAGAATTATATCTAAACTGCCAAGTCAAGAATACTAGTAAGTGAGAAATGTGCAGTGATTTCCTGGCAACGATATTTCTCCATTGGGAGAAACCTGTTTCTCTGGATTGTGTATTAAGAGGGTCCATGGCGCCCCTACCATGAGACATCAAGAAATCACAGTCTCTCTTCTATAAACAGGAAGAATTACAGAGTGGAGCAGTTTTTTTGTTTGTTTGTTTTTTTAAGATTTATTTATTTATTTACTTGAGAGAGAGAGAATGAGAGACAGAGAGCATGAGAGGGAGGAGGGTCAGAGGGAGAAGCAGACTCCCTGCCGAGCAGGGAGCCCGATGCGGGGCTCCATCCCGGGACTCCAGGATCATGACCTGAGCTGAAGGCAGCCGTTTAACCAGCTGAGCCACCCAGGCGCCCCCAGAGTGGAGCAGTTTTAAGCCTGGTAAAATATATATGGAGAGAAATTAATTTATGACATGACCTTGAATTTTTTATTTTCTGTGCCAGGGTCTTGCATAGTTTAGAGACATCCTGGTCTCACCCAATCCCAAGCAAACATAAATCCCAAACAAATGCACACTAAAATTTCCTTGGGACACTGAAAGATCAAAATGAATACACGTGGGAAACACATTTATTGGTTCACCTGCTGATAGGAAAGTAGCAAACTCTAAATCTCTCTGAGGAGAATGTGAGTGGATGTAATGCCACAGGGTTCTGTCCCCTGAATCATTATTTGTGTCTGTGGGGATGGAGCTGGGTTCAAATGATGACAGAACAAAGCCCTAGCTTGCAGAAGCGAATCCATCATCAGGTTCTGCCATGAGAACTGTGAATGCGGGCTTCACCTCCTGATGAGGTCTCGTTAGACAAGGGACTCATTCCTGGTCCTTCCCTGTGAGATTTCTTCTAAACCCGAGGCCACATTTGAAGAAAAGAACACAGATTATACCACTGTAAGTAAACGTGGTTCATTAGCCGTAGGAAGGGGTTTGCAGGTGAGAAATGGGAAAGGGGGCTGGGAATGAAACCACTGGCTCTGGGTATTAGTGACTAAATGTCTTTCACGTGTGGCCCTAAGCCTATCTTCATAACTAGGGCCCTGATGGGGACCTCTAGGTACCGCTACTAATTCCCATGGTGTAGCCATGATGCCTCTGACCCTCTAAGACCCTCAGTCCATATTCTCATCATCCTCATGTGGCAGCTCTTGGCTTTGTCATGACCGTGTCAGAGAAGAGGCATCAGCTAACCATCCAGTAGGATATGATCTGATTGACGAAAGGCTTACAAAGAAATTTAGGGGGTCACGTGGCCCACATGCCTCTTCTTACAAATAAAAAATTCTGAAGTCGGAGGTAAGTGGTTACTTGCCCTAAGACCTATCTTCCTTCCCTGCCCTGTTAAATGCCTGCCCCAGCAGATCTCAGAAATATTGTCTGCCCCAACAGGACCCACTTGTCTCTTGCCTGGGAGAGAGATGGCATTCTCTTACAGGGGAAACCCAGGTCTGTTGGTGTACAGATTTCTCTTTTTGTTCCTTGTTTTAGCAGAGAAGTATTGCGATTCTTAACATGTTTCCTTATGATTATCTAATCCAGAAGTTACTCTGTGTGATGGTTTTCAAATCCCTAATATATTGTTAGGAACTTATTAAGTGTCTTATGTGAGTTAACTCATGAGGTTTATTGTTCATCCCATTTTGTAGCTGATGGAGCTGAGGACCGGAGAAGCTCAGAGAGGTCACAAAACTACTATGCGGCAAAGTCAGGATTTGAACCCAGGCAGTTGGGCTCAGAATCCATGTTTGTTTGTTGCACTCTGCTACTCATTAAGATCAAGCTGAGTCTTGAAGTAAGTATTGGAGATGATAAGTAATTTCTGAGTAAGTGTGGAAATTGGACAAATGTGTGTTGCCCCAGAACACCATCTTTGATGGCCCAGGGCTCTCACTCAGAGTGATCAATAGAACCTCTCAGTGTAGGTCAGTGCTAAATATCCAAAGTACAGCCTTCTTTCCTGCCAAGAGATTTTTGAGTTTTAAAACCTGTGTTTTCCTCTTCAACCCAGGAGTGAGTTTCCTTTAAAGGACTTTTCCACTTCCTTAAAATCCTTTTGAAAATTAATTTTTAAAAATCAGCATATAAAAACATTAACAGAAATGAAAGTAAAATGGTGTGTTTATTTGTTTATTATTAAATTATTTATTTATTATTTATTTATTTATTTGGTGTGTTTTCTATTTAAAGTCAAAAAATAACCAAAAGAAAAGACAAAATAAATGTGAAAAGGTTTATAATACCATGGTTTTGTTAGATCTCTAATCCTGATGATTTGGACTCTTTCTTGAAATTTGTGGTCTTATTAATACTGTTAATAACAATTAACATTTATATAACTCCAAATATATGCCAGTTTGGTGGTCATTATTCTTCACATCAGTCCTTTTAGACACCTGTTGTCACTATTTTATGGATGAAAACAATGAGGCGGTGACTAGAGTAAGTGGCTCCAGGTCCTACCATTCACCTTGCAGAATGGAGATTGGAACGATGCTCTGACCAGCACTGTTAACACTGTTAACCATGCTATTTTCATCCTGGTTCAGGGATCTTGCTGTTTTCAGTCCTTGTGAATTTTCATGCTATGGAAGAACAGAGAAATGTATCCATGAAATGTCCCTTATTCTGCACACTGGAGACTTTTCTTTAATATGTAGCTGGAGCGGACACAAGTAATTTGAGATCTCTCTCTCTCTTTTTTGTTATCTGCCCCAGGCTTTTTCTCAGAGGAAAAAAAACAAATCTGGCTTCTTGAACTGTGAAATTCAAAATGCAAAATCATGCCAATATTTAAAAGGAAATAATGCTTTCACCTTGTATTTTTCTACTTTCTTTGTTCTCAACAAATGAGCTGATCGACAATCAGTGTATGCTGTAGAGTGGTCTCCTTGTGACCTTCCTACAAAACTGTACAAAGGTGTGGCGCCTGGGTGGCTCAGTTGGTTAAGCGACTGCCTTCGGCTCAGGTCATGATCCTGGGGTCCTGAGATCGAGTCCCGCATCGGGCTCCCTGCTTGGCGGGGAGTCTGCTTCTCCCTCTCCCGCTCCCCCCTCTCGTGCTCACTGTCTCTCTCTCAAATAAATAAATAAAATCTTTAAAAAAAAAAAAAACCGTACAAAGGTGAGATTGGCATCCAGTAGGACCTATAGTCTGTTAGTAGCTCACATTTGACGAAACGAGTTGTTTCACTAAGAATTCCATTTGCCTCCTTCATTCCTGCCATTTTGGAGGTTAGTTACTGGTTTCTCTCAAAATATCTTAGGAAAAAGAATTACACATAAAACTCTATCATTCCAGCTTGTTTTAAGTATGAACTTTGATGAGTTAAACAATTCTAATCATTTGGGAAAGGGAAGCTAATGCCCAGCCTGATAGCTGAAGGATCCAAGTGTCTGCTGTCCTAGGTCACTGGCCTGGGTGCAGGAGTAACACAGGGACACATCACAGATCAGCCCCCTGGGCTTGCCCTTGGATCCACTCTCAGCATCGCATCTCAGGCCCAGACAGGCTTCCCTGGCCACGGGCTCTGTGCTCAGCCTGCCTGCCCGTCCTCCTCAAGCTCGTATCACATTCACCTCCAGGAGGTGTCCTAGGACTCATCCAAAGGTGATCTTTGGAACAAAATTTAGTCTTTCGGCTTCCTGTGTCTTTATTAGCTCTAAAGACATGCATACAAGACTTTCTCTGAAAGCATGATCTCCTTTTCTGTCATTACTTGTGCCTTGCTTTCCATGGTGAAAGAATGTGTTTATTTCAGGAGAGCCTTAAAAATTTACAAAATGTCCATATTCCCAGAGGACTAGGGCATTAAGAGCTCTCTGAGCCCTCCTATTCGGCTTGATTTCCTGGGACCCATTAGCACAATATTCAGTCTGCCCACAAAATGCCATATTCTGTTCAGACAGAATTTGTATTGTCCAGACAGTTGGACAGTTTCCTATTTCATATCTGCTAATTGGTAGTTCAGTCTACATCCTTTAACTGTGCTCTGCTTGCATGAATTTAAAAATAAGTCAGTAAGTCAAAAGTAGATCAGCCCATATAAAATCAGTAATATTTGAGTGACTTTGTAGATATTTTACTGATCATAATTTGCTGCTATTTCTTGGGACCTCCAGTGAATGTCCACGCAGAACGTAGGAAGTTGGCTTAAGACAACCACTTCCTTTTAAGAGAAACACCAAATTCACAGAGACATAGACACGTAAGTTCACATGAGAGCAAATGCCTCTCAAATTTGCAACTTCATTGCACTCTGCACAAATGTGTCTGCTAGTAAGCATGTTGGTCAACCACATGATTATAAACAAAGGGAATTCACAGAGGCAAACATTAGTATGCAACATTTGAGCAGTATCCAGGGAAAGAGGAGGCCTTCATGAACTGGCTTGGGATAAAAAGTTCCCACTGGTAAACAGGCTGGTCCTATGTGACTTTTTCTAAGGTACTGATGGGAAGATTCCTAGCTGACAGGTAAATTCTCTGTCACTTCTGATTCTGCTTACAGTTTTATTGTTTTTATTGTTTTCAGTGTTTTGGTTTTTAACTACAAACCCCTAAAAGCTACATTGCAGATGAGGAAATTAAAAGGGCATCTCAATGGGCTTCTCTGAATGACAAAGGCCACTTTCTTTGACCTCTGCAACATCACAGCTCTGCCTGTGTCTTGTTCACATTTTGGTGAGTGTTGCAATAATTTTCAACCTAATTTATGATCTATTTCTACTTTTAGTCAGTAGAAGATCTTGATCTTTTTCTCTATTAGGACAATTCAGGGGGAAAAAATCTGTATAAAGAAAAATGAGATTGAGATTTTCAATTTCCCCTTTCCTGTCAAAGGTTAACTATTTTTCATAATGTAGTGATTGATTTCTCCCATATGAAGCTGTAAGAAAATCTGCTTTGATTTGAGATTCCTCTTAAAATTTGGTGAGGATTACTCTGAAGATGAGTAGGAATAATGTGCACCTTTAGTTGTATATTACATTGTAGATTTTTCCAAAATGAAAATATTTTGTTTTTTTTTACCCATGGTAATGCATAAAGTTTATTAAGGAAATGAGCAAATAAGCAAACAATTTATATAAAAAACAAATCATATAATCAATATAATAGTTAATATCAACAGATAATCAATATAAACAGTTTCATGGTTAAAACAAAGAATTTTTATACATATATGTATGTAGGCACAAAAGACGTGTATAAATATTTTTATATTAAAATATAAGTTGGATCATATTATATGCACATTATTTTACTTCATGTGGAAAAATTTTTCATTTCACTATATAAAGATTTATATTAACCTTTTTAATGGTTGCATTGCATTCTGTGTTATAAAAGTAGCCAAATATCTTAATCCATCTCCAATTTATAACCTTTATATCAGTTCCAAAATTTTTAAAATATAAGCAGGGTTATAATGAATATTTACAACCTCTTAGTCACTATAGTTCTGGTACATTGGACCTTTTCCTTTCCCAGACCTCACTAAGTCCTTCCTGCCCAGGGATTTTGTCTTTACTGTTCCCTGAGCAAGGAACAGTCTACTTTGGCAATAGTTAGGGTGGACTCCCCTTCATCATTTGGACTCTACCCATGTGTCTCCTTGTTAGAAAGATTTTTCCTGACAATCCCATCTAAATGACCTCCCTTCACACCAAGTGACTTTCAATCATATTACCCTGTTCATTTTCATCATTATACTTTCCACTATGAACAAATATTTTACGACTTTGCTCCTGTTGTTTTAGGGATGGTAATCAACCATGACGTCTCCTTGCTCCTGGTCTGAAGAAATAGAGAAACAGACCCAGGAATCAGGTAGAAATTAAAAATATATGCTTTCTTAGTGAGGTTTATTGGAAAATATGATCTACAGCTTTAACAAAATGTCTCTCCAAATTAAAATCACAACAATTAGCCCACCTCCACTCCCTAAATGGGACAGTACATGCTCCTGTAGGCTTTAGCCTGAAAGAATAGAAATGCATATGACCAAAAAAGAGAGCAGAGAAGGGGCATCCTCATTTCCTGTTTCCTGTTCTACAAATCCTATAAATAAGAGAGCAGGAGAGCGGCAGGTATCCTCCCGTGTTTCCATCCAGGGGGAGAGAGATTTCTCCCCTAAATGGAAACATGAAGAGTAGATGACAAGTACACCACCCAGCTTCTTCACTATCTGTATCCCCTTCAGAATGCATCTACTTTCCCTATGCTGTTCTTCCAGAGTTTAAAAGAAAGGCTGGAACAGATGATGCACTCAAGGAATATGTGTTAAAGAATTATTGAAATAGAAATTTAAATTGTAGGGGCGCCTGGGTGGCTCAGTTGGTTAAGAAATTTAAATTGTAAAAAACTACTCACATACTCCATTTTCAAAGTTCATAAGAGGGGGACATTGGTACATTTTTCGTGCAGGAAGCTGGCCATAGGTATCACAAGCTTTGAAATGTCTATATATTTTAGCACCTGCAATTTGACTTTTAGAATATATCCTAAATAATCATGAACATAGACAAAACTTCAGTTTGAAAGAATATTTATCTTGATGCTAATAAGAGAAATAAGAACCCCAATTTTTTCAACAATAAGAAATTAAATAAATTGTAATATAATAGAATATTGCATTAGTTTTAAATAATACCTGTAAAATATTACTTTTAATACAAGAAAAATGTTCATTATATTAAGGGAAATGTTAGTTAAAAATAGTCTCTATAATATAATCCTGATTTTAAAATATGACTTTGAGGATTCAAGTTTTTACAAAGAAAAAAAATGAAATTATTTGTAAAATATTCTGTTGGATTTGAAACTACAGCCTAATTTGAAAGTAAAAAGTTCTCAGGTTGGGGCGCCTGGGTGGCTCAGATGGTTAAGCGTCTGCCTTCGGCTCAGGTCATGATCCCAGGGTCCCGGGATCGAGTCCCGCATCAGGCTCTCTGCTCCTTGGGAGCCTGCTTCTCCCTCTGCCTCTCTCTCTCTGTCTCTCATGAATAAATAAATAAAAATCTTAAAAAAAAAAAAAAAAAAAAAAAAAAAGTTCTCAGGTTGTTTCTGGGAACAATGTGAAGAGAGTGTAAAGGGACAGCAAGCACCAGTTTACATGGTTTCGAGGCATAATGTCACCATCTGGCTGTTCCATGACCGTTTTTCCCCCTGGATAGACCCAGCCACCTCCCAGGAAGAGCTTCCTAGAAAGAAATAACCAACCAATGCCCCACCTGTTCCCACTCCCTGTGACCTGCTCAGAACCCATTAGAACAGCAGGGGGCAGTCAGCATGGTAGCAGGTGAAGAAGGTCTGAGGGGAGTTGATGGCCATAGGAGTTACCAAAGCTGGGAAGATACCATGATGACAATTCTTTCACCAGAAAATAAGATAAACTCTGAGATTTTTCTGTGTATTACGTTATAAAAGGAAAAAGAAAACACCCAAAGAAAATACAATTACAATATAGCTGTTAATGTTAATTCATTTTCCCTTTTGAGATTCATAGTTGAGAAAGTTGCAGAACTGTCCTTCTGTTTACCTGAATTTAGGATATATACACGTGTTCATTGCATGGGGCCAAAGAATTCTTTTACTTATGCCTAAATTTCAGTATCTGGTGCTGTGATAAAACTCTCAGAATAAAACCGCAAACACTGGAAATGGAAAAGAGGTACTAGAAGAAGCTTGTACAGAGGATTATAGCTGAAAATGAGGGGCTTACAAAGTTATAAAGACACTATAAAATGAGACTTCATTTAGAAGGCACTTCAAATCTGAAACAAATAAGTAGAAAAGCATCTGAGAAGGGAAGTTGTTAAGTAAACAACCTATAAAGAACAGAGGGCCCTAATCGCCTCCTATCTTGGACCAAGAAGACAAACAAGCTTAGGAAACAAAACTACGTCCTGTTCCATACATTCTGTCAGGGCATCTCTCTTCTAACTACCTTAATAATCAAGACTCAAACCCTTGAAAGGAAGCTAGAGCACTTTAATTCTCCAAAACAACATATGTGTGCGTGTATGTGTGTGTATGCTATTAGGTACTGTATATAATAATGTATAATATTATCTTGTAATATATTTTATTTGTAGTAAATTATATACAGATATAGCCTATCATTCCATTGATAGAAGGGGAATTTTTTCTGATTTATATTAGCACACTGAGTTTTTTAGAGATATCTAAAAATAAATGACAGAAAATTGATCCAGAGTAATATATTTCTAAATGTTCATTCTGTAACATTTAGTGCTATTTTGAGTCTTGATTACCCTAGAGCTCTGACCTTCCTGTTGTGAATGTGGACTTGTCAGTCTCTGCCATAGGAACATGGGAGGCAACCAGACATGGATCACAGAAGTCACCCTGCTGGGATTCCAGGTCGATCCAGCACTGGAGCTCTTTCTCTTTGGACTTTTCTGCCTCTTCTATACCCTCACCCTTCTCAGGAATGTAGTCATCCTAAGGCTTATCTGCTTAGACTCTAGACGGCACACCCCCATGTACTTCCTCTCTCACCTGGCCATTGTTGACATGTCCTATGCTTCCAACAGTGTCCCCAAGATCCTGGCAAAAATCTTGTGAATCTGAAAAGAACCATCTCCTTTGTTCATGCAGACTTTTTTGTATCTGGCTTTTGCTCACATAGAGTGCCTGATTTTGGTCATGATGTCCTATGACCGGTTTGTGGCAATCTGCCATCCCCTACATTACACTGTCATCATGAACTGGAGAATGTGCATGGTCCTTGTTGTGACTTCCTGGGTGTTTAGCTTCCTCTTGGCTCTGGTCCATTTAATTCTCATCCTGAGACTGCCCTTCTGTGGGCCTCATAAAATCAACCACTTCTTCTGTGAAATCCTGTCTGTCCTCAAGTTGGCCTGTGCTGACACCTGGCTCAACCAAGTGGTCATCTTTGTGGCCTGTGTGTTTATCTTACTGGGGCCCCTCTGCTTCGTGCTGGTGTCCTACTCACACATCCTATTTGCCATCCTGAGGATCCGGTCCGGGGAGGGCCGCAGAAAGATCTTCTCCTCCTGTTCCTCCCACCTCTGTGTGGTGGGGCTCTTCTTTGGCAGTGCCATTGTCATGTGCATGGCCCCCAAATCCCACCACCCTGAGGAGCAGCAGCAGATTCTTTCCCTATTTTATAGCCTTTTCAACCCTATGCTGAACCCACTGATCTACAGCCTGAGGAATGCAGAGGTCATGGGTGCCCTGAGGAGAGCACTATATAAGCAGAGGCACACGTGAAGGATAACGAAAATCAACATGGTGAGGGACACTCTGCTCCCCATGAAATATGGTAGGTGGCATTTTTTCACCTTATGCTATAATAAATGCCACATTAAGATAGAATATTTTAGACCTAAACATACAACCTGAAGCCATACAGACTTTAGAAAATAAAATAGATGAATACCTTCATGACCGTATGTATGCAAAGATTCTTAGAGATGATTCAAGAAGCACAAGACACAGAATTTGAAGAATTAATAAATATTAGGCCTTTTCAAAATTAATCCTTCTGACCATCAAAGTCACTATGAAGAAACAAGAAATGCAAATCACAGATGAAGTGTTTTATATTTTTTAAATGCGATGGTGAGTCAGGTATGTCCACATGAGGAGACACGGGAATGTCAGGGAAACACAAAGTTTGTTGTCCTCACAGGTCCTGGAGAAGGAGGCATGCACGCCTTGCAGGGCCATGTAGGAAAGACACCAGGGTGCTCAGGAGACAGAAGACAGGATTAAGGGAAGGTTTACATCATTGCCTTCCTGGGCATTTCCACAGAAAATACCCAATAAAGGGTTGTATTAGAAAAAGCTGGAGTTTGTATAATGGGCAAATCTTTGCTATGTACAGAAAGGGCATCATGGAGACTGATGGTCCAGGAGAATTCTAAAGCTGAGAGTTTCTGTGATCTTCAGAATGCGAGTTACCTTACTTCCAATAATCTCCTTCAAATCCATCTGCCTTCTCTTCTGTCCTGAGCTATAGAGTGCTGTGTAATAGTACGTACTACTGTTTGCCCTTTCTCAAAAATCAACATGCCCAATTCTGACCTTCATACAACTGGGATGGATTTCCTCTTAGGTCTGCCAATCCCTTGGTATTAAAAAAGAATTATAATAAACCAATGTTCAAATGAACAGTTTACAATTGCAAACTTCAAAGTCATGAAATGTTGAATCTCTGATCTCTAAAAACAAAACAAAATGAAAATAAATAAATACCTTTTGCTTGGAAATGGAGTTTTTAAACCCTGACTGATAAACTAGATAATCTTTTCAGATCTCAAAGCAAATTTCTAAAATACACTGCCTTCAATTATGAGAATAAAGTAAAACAAACAAACAAACAAACAAACAAAACCCAATCCTTTTGTCACCAAATTATAGTTACTAAAGGTAAAAACACTAATGGGGATTTTCAATACAACTGCTGGGAAGGCAAGGTTCATGAGGCACCCACAGCCATACACCAGGCCTGTAGACACCAGGGTGGAGACGTAGACACCAGGCCCTATTGAGAGCCTCTTTTAGGAGCAACAAAGCCCATGAGTTTTTAACATGTATGAAGGTCATCAGCTGGGAGGAAAAGGAACTGCTCTGAATAACACCATGTCCTCATTGATATATGACACACAATAAAAACTAGCTTCAGCACAAGCCTTTAAACTGAGGTAGGGTAACTGGTTTTGTCTTCAAATGATTGGAACTCAGAAATCAGTGAACCATGGCTAATTGTAAGGACACCTATCATCATAATAATCTGGTGTATGGACAAGGGCCAAATCTATTGGAACGTCACAGCAAATACTTCTGTAATTCTTACTGATTTGTTTCGTAATGAAACAAATTGTACCATGACCATACTCTGCTGTGGGGTACCATTGGTATTATTGATAAAATTCAACCACCTTATGGAAATAAATGATATGTCAATGCTGATACTGAGGACCAAATGTATTGGGAGATCACGTTAAAGCCTCCTCAAGTTGTAATACCAAAGGAAAATGGCTGGTCTGGGGAAGCCCTAGAGTTGACTAACCATCAGCTCATTTCTATGCTAAATAGCTCTGCTCAAGGTTATTACAAGGTACAAACAACATAGCTCCAAGGGGAGCAAGTAATCAAATTAATACAAAAATGTGAAAATGTATGCCATGGCTTTCTAGGATATCACTGTTTCTTTGAATCTATCCCTAGTCTTCACTGGCTCCTCCCAATATGGGGCATATTCATGCTCTTGCTGTATCTACCCTATTAAGTAAAACCTTGCTGTACCTGCTACCTAAGTGCTCTTTAAATGTAGATGCTCAGAAAAATATGGTCATTTTGCTGGAAGAGCACATAGGCTGAGGTCCAGGTGTGGACCATGCCATAAGAAAGGGTTAACTCGGTTAAATTTGTGTAAGTTAGGAATTTAAAGGAACTTTAAAATATTCTGATCCTAACAGCTAAAGTGAGCCACAGAACTAGAAATTGTGTCCCTCTGAGTTGGGATTCAGAATTACTTTGATAATTAGGGGTAGGAGTCCTGGAGGCACATGTGGCGGATGATGAAGAGCAGTGACAGGATAGCATGTGTCTGAGGAAAAACATGGGATCCAAGGGCTGCTCCCTAGTTAAGAGAAAAGACTGCAGGTGGCAGGATTCTCAAGATGACCCCCTGAGGTACCTGCCCCACTCTTTTTTAATCAAGTGCTAATCTGGGCTCTGCTGTGAATATATTTTATAAATCAACTGATATTAAACTATGGAGTTACATTGGTGGGCATACCCCATTTAGGTGAGCTTTTGGAAAGCAGGGAGTGTTCTCATCTAGGAGCAGAGGAGGAAGTCAGGATATCTGAAGTGTGAGGATGGAGGGCGTCATGTGCAAGGTCTGCAGATAAGGACTTCAGACCCAGCCATGTCCTTGATGTCAGTCTGTGAGACAGGTTCAGAGAATCCAGCTGCCCCATCCTACAACTCTGATCCATGGAAACTGGGAGAGAACACATGTGGGCTTTTTTTTTTTTTAATGTGTCTGGTCTTTTTTTTTTTTACACTGTGTATATATATATATATTAATTTGTTAAAAATTCCAATATAATTAACATATAGTGTTATGTTAGTGTCACATATACAATATAGTGATTCAATAATTCTGTACATTACTCAGTGCCCATCATAAGTGTACCCTTAATCCCCTTCATGGGTTTCCTACCTCCCCCCACCGACCTCCCCTCTGGTAACCACCAGTTTGTTCTCAACAGTTAAGAGTTTATTTTTTTATTTGTCTCTTTTTTCCTTTGTTTGCTTGTTTTGTTACTTAAACTCCCCATATGAGTGAAACCATTTATCTGACTTATTTCACTTAGCATGATACCCTCTAGGTCTATCCATGTTGCTGTGAATGGAAAGATTTCATTCTTTTTTATGGCTGAGTAATATTCCATGGTATATAGATACCAGTTGTGTGTTGTTTTAAGCTGCTAAGTTTGTGTTCACTTCTGGCAGCAACAAGAGAAAACTATAAAACTTTTGGTATCAGATAAAATCCATTTGTTTTCAAATTAGTAAAAAGATTAGTAATCTACCATTTAGTGCAATGGTACTCTACATTTCTGGTCTTGGGGCTTCTTTGAACTCGTAAAAATTACTGAGGACCTAAAGATATATTATTTATATGGTAATATTTGTTAATATGTACCATATTAGAAGTCAAAAGTGAGAATTTATTAAATATCTTAATTCATTGAGAATTATTTCTATTATATATTAATATAATGTATTTTTATGAAAAATAACTATCTTTTATAAAGCAAAAAAAAAGAGTAAAGAGAGTAGCTATGTTTTACATTTTAAAAAAATATTTATTTGGGCGCCTGGGTGGCTCAGTTGGTTAAGCGACTGCCTTCGGCTCAGGTCATGATCCTGGAGTCCCGGGATCGAGTCCCACATCGGGCTCCCTGCTCAGCAGGGAGTCTGCTTCTCCCTCTGACCCTCCTCCCTCTCATGCTCTCTGTCTCTCATTCTCTCTCTCACAAATAAATAAAATCTTTAAAAAAAATTTTTATTTATTTTAGGAGAGGGTGTGGAATGGAACTAGAGCAGGAAAAGGGCAGATGGAGAGTGAGTTAGAGAATCCTAAACCAACTCAGCTCTGAGTGCAAAGCCTGACATAGGGCTGGATCCATTACCCTAAGATTATGACCTGAGCTGTATTCAAGATTCAGACACTTAACCAACTGAGGCCCCCAGGCACCCCTGTTTTACATTTTGAACAATCTTACATGTTGGCTTAAGGAAAGCTGAATTTTATATTTCTGCTGTACTCTGTCTAATGCAATATCACATGTCATGTTACCTCTGGAAAACTCCATGGGGCACTCATGAGAAAGGGAGGGTGAAAAAGGCAAAAAGTCTAAATATAACTATCAAAATAGTTTTGATCATATGGCCCCTTCGAGAGATTCTCAGACATTCCCCCAAGCCCCTGGACCACACTTAAAGAACAAATAACTTAGTATATTCAAACTTAGTATCCACATTCATAAAATGGTAATGCTGATCAGATTAAACCATGTAGTCAGTATAGAGCATTTGGCACATTTTCAGAAACAAGAGAAGTGCTCAATAATTGTTGCTTGTGAATAGTAGAAACCTTCCTCATTTGTATTTACCAATCCTTGCTGCAGATAGAGATACATCTTGGCTTGGGGATCTATTCTCTCTCAGGTTTGCCATAACACGTTCCATGGGAATCCACTTCTCAAGCATCTAAAAATCCCAGTCCCTCAGATGCTTTGATGGAGATTGTAAAGAAGCATGACTTCATAAAACTGTAATCAATTTGAGAGTTTTGGTACAGTAACTTGTGACATTTGTCTTATCTTATAACCCTTGAGATAGCTGCAAGTTTGTGTACAAACAGTGTGATGCCAATATCCACCCTGTTTCCTCACCAGGATTTTCCTCCAAGGACCATCAGACACTACCAACCTCTCCCCCAGAGAGAAAATTCAGGGATTTCCCTCCCTAATCTTAGGAAGAAGATAAATAGGTATAATATTGTATGATCATTCTGGGAATTTGAATTCTCAATAGAAACTCAAGAATGTTTTTAATTCATCTGACTCTAAAATAAAAGCTATGCTCCTGGGGTTCTTTGAAGAACCTTCAGAAGTCTAGTGAGTGACTCCTGTATCTGGGATTTAATCCTCTGAAAGCTACCAAGGGAACAGGACCCTACATCCATTTTAGAGGTACATTTCTCAACTCTGTGGAGTTTATTGTAGGTTAAAGTTGCTCCTTGTGAGAAAACCCAATGCTAGCATGTCCTTATGCAGAAGAGATTATTAATTTATGCTGGGAGATGATTTTCAGTATAGGTAGTTGATAAAGGGCAGGCTATGTGGACAAAAATGATATTCCTGGGTGAACTTCCCTCCTGACTCACACTGTGCACTGTAGGTAGATACAATAGGCACCTGGACGTCTCCCTCCTGTATCTTAGGGACCATCTGCCCACTGTGTGGTGGGCAGGCATCCTTGAACTCCCCCAGCATCTCTCTCACCATTTCCTCCTAATGTAACTGAGTGGTGGTAGCACAGTTGTCTCAGGGTAGTGTGAGGGGGCTCAGACAATGAGAAGCCTTATGCAGCCATTTTCTCTGAACAAGGTTCCCAAATGGCCAAATTAACAAAAGTACAATATCACCTAGCCTAAATGAAGATCTTAATGTCTAGAGCAACCTGTCTCAATGGAAAAGAATGTTCTAGTAACAGTTACAGTAAGTCTTTGCTGAAACACTGTAAGATGTAAGTTTGCCATATAGTCATTCTTTTTGGCACTATCCGAGGTTATTACCCTGTTATGATGATTATTAGGCTTAAAAAATCACTGAGTTTGTGTACATGTCTTTCTTATCACAAAATAGGACAGAAGGAGTGCTAACGCTCCTGACAAGGGTTGGAGAAATAGATATATCTCCCTTGATCAAGAAACATTCTGGGGTCCAGGACAGCCCAGAAAGAGCTGCTCCTACCAACTGAGCAAAGCTTTCCTATTTGAGCTGCTATTGTTTCATTTACCTCATTGGGGCCATGAAATTTTAGGTATCACTACCATGACATTTTCTTCTCTATGCCAGTAATGTATTTGCTTAAGAGTTTTAACCTACTTTCAATTTTATTTTGTGTTGTTCATTTTTTAACAGCAAGATGGTAATAACGGTAATGAAAATGAGAATGAAAAAATATACTCAGACACAAAAATAACTAGGCTAAAAAGTTATTAAACCAATGTTCCCACTGAACAGTGATGGATTCTGTGCCTTCCACAGTATTTTTATCCTTTCTGTTCACAGAGTAAATGTGGTTCAGACATTGCTTATTGTATCCCACTGTGCCTCTAGAATTCTGCAATACTGATGTTGCTGTCTTCCACTTTACATAACATAGGCATAGTCTTTAATTGTAGCAAAAATCCATGTCACAAACTTAAGGCACATTTATGTAGAAGCTTCCCAAATGCAATCATATTCATGGAGGTGAACGAATCTGTGATTTTGTCTCTCTTTAATTTTCCAGTGATCATATTCTGTGAACTTCTCTAGGGAAGGAGAAACCATGTCTTTGTCAAATGAAACTGGGACATATAAGATACGTAGCACGTCAATTTTTGAACTAAAATGACAACGATCCATCTAACAAACATTTCCTGAGTGCCTGTTTCATCGAGAACTTTACCTGTTATTTTGGGATATAAAGATGTTCAGGACATATTACATACCCACAAAACTTCCTATTTGGGAAAGAGAATCTCAGTTCAGATACACGACATTTGGTATAACCCCCTTTCTATCTTTGATTTTATCTTGAGGGTTATCCAGATCTTCATAGTGATGATCTACCTCTTAACTGTTAATATTGACCAAGCCCATATATTTAATAGGTACCTGAAGAGCTTCTTCAGATGCATCTACTCTGATTCACAAGAATAGAAAAGACCCTTTTTACAGGCTGTTTTATCATTAGACTCCCAATGGGGCCTAGAGAAGATCAAGTAGGCTGCCTTCTTTCTCTTTGTAGTACCTAGTGGTACCTACAATAAAATGGTTCAAATGAGGAGGACTATGACCCCATGGCAACACCCCACCAGGATTATACAATGAGGGTAGTGATGCACACAGTTTATAACCACACTAATATTTTTGAATGACCCAGATGCATTTTCTGGCCCAATATATACTAGATTAAGAATTTACAATTCTCTAACCCTAGTATGCTCTAAAAGGATATACAATAATTCTCAGTATTTAAAAAATTACTGAATTCATCTTACATTCAGAAAAGGTAGCATAAATGTAGAGAAAAAGAGAATAAGGTAAATATGAAAGAAATATTAAAATTTGTTGAATCTGTGTAAAGGAACATGGGTTTTTTTGGTATAATTCTTGACACTTTTCTGTGAGTTTAAACTTATTCCTTATCAAAAATTCAAATCAAGAAGGTAATCAATTTTGGGAATAGCGGATCTGGCAAGTGGGGCCAAAGATACAACCTTTCTCTGAGCTCATTTTGAGATAGGTAACTCTAATTTTTGTCAATTCTCCAGCTCTACCTTTTCTCACACTTCAGTCCTTGATAAACTGTCATTAAGAAATGGGAAGCAACCAGTCATGGGTCACAGAATTCATCTTGGTGGGACTCCAGCTCGGTGCAGAGATGGAAGTATTCCTCTTCTGGATCTTCTCCCTGTTCTACATCTGCAGTCTGTTGGCAAATAGCATGATCTTTGGACTCATCTGTCTGGACCTGAGACTGCACACCCCCATGTACTTCTTCCTCTCACACCTGGCTGTCATTGACATGTCCTATGCATCCAATAATGTCCCCAAGATGTTGGCAAACTTAGTGACTCAGAAGAGAACCATCTCCTTTGTCCCATGCATAATGCAGACATTTTTGTATTTGGGTTTTGCTGCTACAGAGTGCCTGATTTTGGTGGCGATGTCCTATGATAGGTTTGTTGCAATCTGTCGTCCTCTCCAGTACACTGTCATCATGAGCTGGAGAGTGTGCTTGGTTCTGGCTGTCACTTTCTGGTCATGTGGATTTATTCTGTCTCTGGTACATGCAATTCTCGTTCTAAGGTTGCCCTTCTGTGGACCCAGGGAAGTGAACCACCTCTTCTGTGAAATTCTGTCCTCAAGCTGGCCTGTGCTGATACATGGATCAACCAGGTGGTTATCCTTGCTGCCTGTATGCTTGTCTTAGTCGGGCTACTCTGCTTAATGCTAGTCTCCTACATGTGCATCCTCTGGGCCATCCTAAAGATCCAGTCAAAGGAGGGCCGAAGAAAGGCCTTCTCCACCTGCTCCTCCCACCTCTGTGTGGTGGGGCTCTTCTTTGGCATAGCCATGGTGGTTTATATGGTCCCAGACTCCAATCAACCTGAAGAGCTGGAGAAAATACTGTCTCTATTTCAGTCTCTTTAACCCAATGCTGAATCCCCTCATCTACAGCCTGAGGAATGCTCAGGTGAAGGCTTCTTTGTATAGAGTACTGCAGAAAAGACCCATGTGAAGCACAGATAGAATGTTGTTTGAGTAGGGTTTCCTTTTAAATTTATGTGGTTTGCTGAAGCAAAAACACATAAGAAGTTCCTGCTTAGAAGTTTGAATTAAAAATGGTTACTGTCCATCTTTTAGCTTTAAAAATAGGGCAAAGTTCCATGAAAAGTAGATCTTCTAAAATTGAGGGACCACATTAGGATTTGGGACATCTAAATTATCAGAATATTTACTCTTTTTTTTTTAAAAAAGATTTATTTATTTATTTATTTATTTGAGAGAGGTGGGGGAAAGCAGGGGAAGGGGCAGAGGGAGACCATCTCAAGCAGACTCCCCACTGAGTGCAGAGCCTGACACTGGCCCAATCTCATGATCCATGAGATCATGACCTGAGCTGAAACCACGAGTTAGTCACCCAATCAACTGAGCAACCCTGACGCCCCTATTTCTTTTAAAAAATATTAAGTGTTCTTTATTTTTTGAAGCCAGGAAAATATTAATGTAAGGAGAAAACAATTAAATGTAAAAAATTACATCAGTGCATTTCTCTGGCTTATGTATTTAGACATGTGACTTTTTAATCACCTTGTGGTAGCTAGAAACAATACAGTAAGATTAATACCATAAGACAGAACTTCCAAAGTAGATTGAAATTTCAATACAGAAAATATTGCAGAATTATATGACTCTATCTCTCCAATTGTGAGGCCAATGAAGTAAGAGTTTAGAGAAATTCTAAATTCCTTGATGGAATAATTTAGGAGTAAGGGGGAAAAGTTAGGGAAGGCTCTAGTCCAATGAGAAACTATGTTAAAAAAAATCCTAAAATATATTAAATGTTTAGGATTTGGTGAAATGAAGGAAATTCATTAGTAAATGTTTAAATGGTTCTAGAGGTCAGAATTTTGAGCACTGCTCAAACATCACATTTACTATTGGGTTATAATTTCATTTTTAAAAATAATTTCTAATAACATTGAATTACCTGTTAAAGTTCTTCAAATAGATTCCACCAATATTTTTTGTAATGTTTGAATCTACTTACCTGAAGATGGTCTGGGGTAGCACCAAACATCATGAGACAATTATGATTAGCTAACATCATCTTTCTTTCATGATGGTGGAAGTTCCTCTGAATTTACCAGAATTGAACAACTGTCTTCATGATGCTAATGGTGATAAAATAAGAGCTGCTTTTTTTATGATTCAGTATTTGTAGATACTGCAAAATGATCACCACAATAAGTATAGTTAACATTGGTCACCATACATAGCTAAAATTTTTTTTCATGTAATGAAAACTTTTAAGGTCTACTCTCTCAAGAGTCATTTTTTTTTTTTTTTAGGGTCACTCTCCACTTTTATTTATTCTTAAGAGCCACTTTCAATCATGCAGTACAGTATTATTAACTATAGTCACTTCGCTGTGCATACATCTCCATGACTTATTTATTTTATAACTGGAACTTTGTACCTCTTGACCCTCTTCACCCATTTCACCCACTCCCCACACACTGGCCTCTGGTAATCATCAATTCGTTCTTTGTATCTGTGAGCTAGTTTTTCTTTTCTTTTTTTTTTTTCTTTTCTTCCTTCCTTCCTTCCTTCTTCCTTCCTTCCTCACTTCCTTCCTTCTTCCTTCCTTCCTCACTTCCTTCCTTTCTCCCTCCCTCTCTCTCTCCTTACCTCCCTCCCTCCCTTTCTTCCTTCTTTCTCTCTCTCTCTCCCTCCCTTTTTGGTTCCACATATAAGTGAGATCATATGGTATTTGTCTTTCTCTGACTTATTTCACTAGCCTAACGCCCTCAAGGTCCATCCAGGTTGTCACAGATGGCAAAGTTTCCATCCTTTTAACGTCTGATTAATATTTCATTGTATATATACCATATTTTCTTTATCTATTCTTCCACTGATGGTCACTTACTTTGTTTCCTCGTCTTAGCTATTGTGAATAGTGCTGCAGTATCATGGGGTTACAGATACCTTTTTGAGTGAGTTAGTGTTTTCATTTCCTTTGGATGAATACCCAGGAATGAAATTGCTGAATCAAATGGTAGTTCTATTTTTAATTTTTTGAGGAACTTCCATAACTATTCTATAGTGGCTGCACCAATTTATATGCACAAGGGTCCCCTTCTCCCTACATCCTTACCAACACTTGTAATCACTTGTTTTTGATGATAGCCATTCTAACAGATGTGAGGTAATATCTCATTGTGATTTTGATGATGACGTGTGATGTCAAGCACCTTTTCATGTACCTGTTGGCCCTGGATGTCTTCTTTGGAAAAGTGTCCATTCAGATCTTCTGCCCATTATTAAAAGAGATCATTTGGGTTTTTGCCATTGAGTTATATGAGTTCTTTATATATTTTGGATATTAACCCTTATTGGATAAATGATTTCCAAATATTTTCTCCCATTTAGTAGGTTGTCTTTTCATTTTGCTGATGGTTTCCTTTGCTGTGCAGAAGCTTTTTAGTTTTATCTTAAAATGTATCATGACGTTAATTATTCTCTATTTTTTGACAAGTCATGAAAACTTCATTAACCTCAAGAGTTATAAAATTCTAGCACATGTACAAAATTAAGTGTAATTAACTTTCATTTAAAAATACATAGTACAGGGGCACCTGGGTGGCTCAGTCGTTAAGCATCTGCCTTCGGTTCAGGTCATGATCACAGGGTCCTGGGATCGAGCCCTGTAAAGGGCTCCCTGCTCAGCCGGGAGTCTGCTTCTCCCTCTTCCACTCCCCCTGCTTGTGTTCCCTCTCTCGCTGTGTCTCTCTCTGTCAAATAAATAAATAAAATCTTAAAAAAATTAAAAAATTAAAAAATAAAAATACATAGTACACAATTAAAAAATACATATTGATATATATTACTCAAAGCATATAATATATAGTATTCAACAATGTAAGCAAATATATATGCTGAGAAAGAAACCAAAAACGTGAAGTCCAGATTGCTACTCAAGACATTTAATATGCCTAAATAAATAAACACATAAATAGAATTCACTTTACTTGGCAGAGGACTATTATCTATGTCCACTGCCTCTTTGTTGCCAGTTTTTTCCATCATAATTTTATCTCTAAATTGTTCACATGTGCTGTCTATACATGATTGTAACTATAAAAATAAAGGCAATTCTATGCTTCTTCCCTTTTCTGAGCAAGATAATTGTATTTCCTTGGAATATAAATTGCCACCATTTTTAGAGTTAGTAATTCTTGAAAGAACAATTAAGTCTTTGCTGGAACATGAAATAGAAGACAGTTCTAGAGAAGGTTACAGTGTTTCAATTCAGGCTTCCAATGAGAATAAAAAAATTGGCTTAACTGTTGCCCAAAGTCAATACCTCAGATTCTAAGATGTCAGGCTGTATATTTGGATGAGCTTATATATATTCAGCAATATAAGCAAACTGTAAACTATAAAGTTATTCAAGTGAATCAAATGTTTATTTTCTCTACATAATCGAAAACAGGAGAAATCATATGGTTGTAATATTAAACACGATGCACTTTTACGTAAAAGTTTAAAAGAATGGAAAAACAGAAATAAAATTATTTAAAGCTCTTAAAATAAGGCAGTAAAAAACTGTTTCTAAACTATTATCTGGTTCAAAATCATTTTTAGGGTATCATTTTTAGAGTAGAATTTCATTTTTACCCTGTACTTAGCTATACACCTTGGAGGGGTCTGAGCTATGTTCTTGCTGTTCCGACGTCATCATGAGTCCTGTACTGTAAGCTGCATTATAGGAAAGCCTCTAGAACCTTCTATCAGAGGAAAAGACCAGCAGTAGCAGCCTTCTAGTGATCGGAGGGTCTTCCAAAAGTTACGAAGTTTCTGCTGAGTCACAGCAGAGACAAGCTGTGCCCTGCAAGCTCACTGATATCTCCCCTTGTCACGAGAAAGCCGTGGAGGAGGGAAAACACACACACACCTGGACACAACGCTGGCATTAGAGGAAAGCAGTAAGATACCCCAGAGGTTAGCAGAGGTCAAGAATTCAGAGATACAGGAGGTTAAAAGAGCAGACACCACCACTAGATTGGAGGCAGGGGGACGGGAACGAATCTCATTTCCCTACTTACTGTGTGGCTGGCGCAAGTACCTAACATACAGAGCCCTCGCCATTAAAATAGGATAATACTTCTGCCCCGGAAGATCAAGGCCTGCCAGCGGGACACTGCATCAGCCCAGGGCTGGACACAAAGACACCCCGAGAAGATGACGCTCACATACACGGTCTCCAGAGACCACTAGTCAGGCGTGAAGCCTGAAGGCTGTTCCCAGTTGCGGACACGGTGTGATCAGAATCGTGTGGTGTCCCTCTGCTCGGAAGGAAGGCGCTTCCCTCTTGGGCTTTGCTTCAAACAGCAGGATCCCACCGTGGGGCCCCCCAGACTTGAAGAAACAGTTCGGTCAGCGGCAGTCTTGTGCTTAACGACTTACCACTAGCACACCTGCTCATTATTCTTTCTTAGCCCTCAAAGTCCCCAACATGGATTCGTTCACTCTCCTACTACCTGAGACAGTGATTTTTTTAAAGCCTCAAAAAAATGTCAGGGGCTCTCAAAACATCAAGGCAGTAATGTCTTCCATCCTGTGAGGTTACATTTTTTTCCCTTAGGAATAACATAGAGAACCTGCTAAGGGGAGGAGCAACATAGGAACCCTCCTTTGTCAGAAGAGGAATAACAAGGGTGAAGCTCAGTGCCTACGCTCAGATCGGGTGGAGAAGGTTCAGCCAGGGGCTGAGGGCTGTGATATAGATGGACAAGCATCAGAGTGGGCAGTCAGCACACCTTGCAATACAAGGAAATGACCTAGCTTCAGTTACCTGAACTAGGTGTTTCATTCCCTCCCACTGGGGCTCTTTGAAGTTCAACTTCTTTAAGGTGATCGAAGGTCCTTTGACCCTGTCTGGAGAATCAAGCAGAATGACAGCATATCAACTAGTGAGCGGCTTATAGAACACATTCTCTAGAGGCAGCCTTCCTG